TATATAAATGAAATGGATTAGAAAACATTTCGGGAAGGCATGATTAAGTATTTATTGAGTAAATTAGTAAAGAGATTACCCACATCTTGATCTAAAAACATGTATGCCATTTTCCACAATTGCTATAGAACTAAACTGCAAAAATATCCTCTTTCACAAAAGCCCTTTGGTACTGAACTTCATGAAGGTCAGTAGAGTAGTCAGGTTCACTCATGAATGGAGAGATACGGAGGAATGAGGGGGAGCTGGGGTGAAATGGCTGCTGCCAGAGCCACGGAGCTCACTCAAGGCATAGAGCACACCAAAACTAAGACAACTTTGAGGTAAAGAATGCATAGTGGTAGACATATGTTGAGGAGATCCATACAACCCTTCCAGTTCTGGAATCTGAGCAGGAGGATTCTCCACCCTGGGCACACGTAGAATCAAAGGATTTAAGACTAAGAAACTCCTAGGTAGCATGTAAGAGAAATACTCTGGGATACTGCTGACATAAAAGGGAACAAGAAAGAACACAGGTGACTGGGATTGAAGGGAGGCCACGGTCATAAGTTTTCTTTGAAGATATGTCTGTTATCAACAAGGAGAACCTTGAGACTGTGCCCTGGGCAGAATCCACATGAAATTCAGCATCGGGGGAAAGAACCTAGGAGTCAGAGAAGAAAGCCCGTTAAAGAAAGAAGAGGACTCAGGAAGAATGTAGGAACTAGAATTGCTGCCATTGAAGTTTCTAAATTTTGCTAGAAGTCACAAAATTTCAGATGATTTTCTCCAGAAAAAGAGGCCATCATTTATAGGTAGTGATTATTTTTTCAACAGAAAACAGGTAGTTGGCGTCTCCATCAAGCTTTTGATAAAACATCTTTTTCAGTTCCTGTGTTATAAGGTCCCATGTGGTGCTTCTCAAATAGCCAGCCTAGATTGGCTAGAATCCTAGCACAACTGAAAGCATGAAACTTTCTGTTTCCTATCCCCCTCTTCCCTTACACTCCTTCCCCAGCACACACATACAAACATACACCACTAAATCCCTAACTAGGTCTCTGGCTGATAATCCATATCAGGTTCTAGGAACTCTGGTGCTTTATTTTTGTTTGTTTTCCTTGGAGTTATTGTAGGAAAAAGATAATACTAAGATTACAAACAGCCACAATAGCTGCATTTGATTGATATTTTGTGCATGTGTGTCTAATACATTTTGGAATTGTGGGAAGTTACTGTAACACTTCATGGGTCTTGACAGTTTTCTATCATCTTTTCGGGTTGTTGCAAAGGAAACACACCTTGAAATTACCAAGGACTAAGAAAGAAACTAAAAGGCATCTCCTTGGAAGATTCTGGCTATAGAAACCAGACCTGTTCAGAGGCATAAAAATTAAATCAAATTCAACAAGCAAAAGATGCCAGAAATTGATTTATAAACAGAAAACTACTGCTCAGATATCGAAAGGAAATAGTGGATACTCAGGAAGAAAAAGGACCAACTTTAAGCCCAGGTCTTCATCTTGAAATCAAGACAGGAACTGAAGAAAAGGGAAAGAAGAGAGGAGAAAGAAATTTAGAGATATAATCAGTTATGCATGAAGTAGAGAAGGAATGGAACCAATACTGAACCAAATGAAGTTTTGAAAACTCAAAGGAGTCTATGTGAACATTTCCAGTGTAGGTAGACGGTAAAAAGTGGTGGGAGAATGAGTTGTTGGTGCTTCCATTGACTAGCGTCTTAGAACTTACCATCAGCCTAGTAAGAAACTTAGGGTTGGGGCAATACAATGAAAGGAGCTACTACTCTCCCAAAGGCAGACAGGATAGGTGAGTTTACCAGAGCTTTGACAAAGGAATGAGGGCCAAAATTCAAAGAGCATGATTGTATCTTCTTCAGAGACCTAACTGGAGTGGACTCAAGGACAGGAGATCCTCATTACAACCATTAAGGACAACTTCATTCATGCAACAAATCGAGATTGAGTATGGCATTAAAAATTGTTTAGAAGTTGAGTATACAGAAGCAAAAAAAGGCAGACAAAGGCCCCCCTCAGAGGGTTTACATTCTGAAGGAAGAGAAAAACAAAGCAAACATGGTTTAAGGTCTGGGGAGGTATAATGAAGAAAATAGTTACATGGCAGGGAATAGGGGTCACTGTCATTGAGGTGTTTTTTATAGTAAGGTAGCTTTGGGAGGAATTTCTGAAGAGTGATTTGGGTGAAGACCTGCATGAATCCAGGGCTTAAGTCAGGGAAAGATTGTCATAAGCAGTGGGGAAAGCAAGTACAAAGACCCCGAGACAGGACCAAGCTTGCTGTGCACAGGCTGGCGTGGATGGAGTGGAAGAAGCAAGCGCAAGAATGGTAGAAAGTGAAGTGCCCAAGGCAGACAAGGGCCAGGCCCTTAAGGCTTTGATAGAAGGGTAGGGAGTCTGGATTTTATCTTACGTGCAATGGAAAATATTAGAAGGCTTTGAGCAGGGGAATGAATGGTGTGATCTTATTTACTATAAAAGGGCCACTCTAGCTTCTGGGTAGAGATTGTGGGGCAAGGGTAAAACCAGAAGGAACATAAAGGAGATTACTGTAAACATCCAGGCCAGTGATGGTGGTGACTTGGTCGTGGGTGGTAAACTACAGAAGTGGAAAAAAATAATGAAATGTATTTTGAAGGTAAAGTCAACAAGACATGCTATGAATAGATGGAATAGATGAGAAATGCAAGAATCTAGGGTTATTCCCGAGTTTGAGAAAGAAAATAAATAATGATGTCCTTCAGCTCTACATAGATTTTATTTCCTATTACTCTCTTGTTGAAAAATCTAACTATACTAATACGTTCACCCTGCAAAAGAGTTTGGCAATTTCTTTAAAAAACTAAACATGCACTTATCATTTGTCCCAGCAACCACATTCCTGACTACTTATCCCAGAGAACTGAGAACTTATGTCCAAACACAAAACTGTACACAAATGTTCATGACAGCTTTATTTGTAATAGCCCAAAGCTGGAAACAATCAAAATGTCCTTCAATAGATGAATGGTTAGACAGTGGTATAGCCAAACCATGAAATACTACTCAGCTGTAAAGAGGAACAAGCTGTTGATATACTCAACAACTTAGATGGAGCTCAAGGGGATTATGTTGAGTGGAAAAAGCCAATTTCAAAAGGTCACATTTTGTATGATTCCATTTATATAACATTCTCAAAATCACAAGATCATATGGATGAAGAACAGATCAGTACTTGCCAGGGGTTACGGATGCTGGAAGGAAAAAGGGTTTCACTATAAAAGCGTAACATGAGGGAGATTTTCGTGGTGACGGAACATTTCCATATCCAGATTTCAGTGGTAGTTACAGGAGTCTACACATGTGATAAAACAACACAGAACTATACACACGCATTGTACCAACGCCAATATTGATCTTGTACAAGGTTTATATAAGATGCAACTATTGGAGAAAACTAGGTGAAGGGCACAAGGCCTTTTCCAGACTACCTCTGCAACTTCTGGTGAATCTATGATTACTTCAAAATAAAATTTTTTAAATCTAACTATGCTCAAGTGTAAAGCAAAATGCATTATATAATATTAAAAGTAGTATAGTAATAAATACATCTGACAAAATGTTCTCTTCTGAATTCATAAAGCAATTTTTGCCAATATATCTTACCACTTTTGGTGTATAGTCAACAGTTTAATCATCAGGATCTCTTTGTATGAAAGAACATTTTCCTCCTAAAAGCCTCTGGAGCAAACGGCACTTGGAATTCTCACTCTCCGTCTGTTACCTCTAACCAGCAAATAGAACCTGTGTGTTCTTGTTTCCATTCCTGTTCACAGGCGTATAGAGGGATGGAAGCTAAACAACCACTAACATTGGTGCTTCAATACCTTTTAGACATTCTGAACTCTGAAAACTACCTTGCTTAAACCCAAGATCTTGACTCTTCCTGGGCCAGCCAACACTTCTGAACTTTCACATCTTTCCCATCAGAGTCAAAATGTAGACCTCTGCAATGTGGAATCTCAAAAGGGTATTTGCCTTAGGCCAAATACCAATAACCATGACCCAAAGGCTTAACAGGTGCTAATACACTAAACATATTTCCATTGTCTTAAGGTTACTTCATGTATCAGAACTAGGCTTGGATAAATCATCTAATTCAACTTGAAGATATGAGTAGTGGCGAATTCTCCCTTAAAATCTTCTTTTAAAACAGCTTCTTTAGTCTGTATTTCTTTAATGTTCTGGTTTTCTGACATCATCCAGGCTCAGGTTGAGTGTAGAATACACAGTCTTTCACTCCTTTAGAGCACATTCTACTCCCGAGAACACCATCAAGACATTTAGTACTCAGGTATGCATGCTAAATCTTACACACTCTTGTCATTGCTGACTGAGCTTATATTTACTAATCTTTTCATTTTCTCAAACCGGGATATATTCAACCTAGAGTGTTTGTAATGGAGACTAGATTTACAAACATTTTTTACTAGTATTAATTGTAAAAATCTACATTTAACTGTATCCTGAGGTCGACTTTAATTCAGGAATTCAATTATTAACTACAACATTTTATGAACTGTGTATCTCACATCAGATCCTGTCTTCTTTTGCAGAATTAAATTCATTGCCAACAAAATCTGTGGAATGTACCAGATGCTGCCTGTCTAGATTCTGGTCTTCCTTGGAAAGAGCTCTGCCAGGTACAATGCTATGAAGAGAATTAAATCACAGAGTTCCCATTCTGATTTTCATAACATTCTATCCACATTGTTTTTCAAGTGTTAACACATTACATGTGTTAATACAAAAAGTAAAACACATTATTTTGCATTTTTATTTTCTAAGGCTGAATAAAAATTAAACCAATGCACATGATATGGATTATAAACACCTTTCAGAAGACAAAGTAGTTTCATCTTAATCCTGACAGAGATTGGAGCCTGGAAAATTGCCACAACATTAATTTTTTAAAAAGAAAAAGAAAAAAAAGATACTTACAGCCAACCATCATCATGGCCACCGAAAACATCTTCTCCACATCTGTGGTAGGAGCTATATTTCCAAATCCTATGGTTGTAAGGCTTGTCATGGTAAAGTAGAGAGAGGACACATACAGTGAATCCTTGCTAGGTCCTCCTTCCCATATCCCTGCACTGGTATTGTATCGATACGGTGTCCCAATGCTCAAGGCCAGCTGGTAGAGCCAACTGTCTATTTGGATGGTGTTCGTGACTTCATCGATGACCTCGTAGTCCCCAATACTGTACCATATGCAGGCCAGCCAATGGGCAACTAGTCCAAACACACACACCAGAAGCACGAGGACTGCTGCTCCATACTCTAGGTAATGGTCCAATTTCCTAGCAACACGGCCCAGTCGCAAGAGACGCACCACTTTTAAAGAACTGAAGAGACTGCTGATTCCCTGAATAAAAGACAAGAAATGACATGACATGACACTTCCTGAAAAGAAAAGGCTCAGGAGACAACACAATGGCTCACCTTCATGAACTTGATGACCACTTATATACTAAGAACATACACATAATATAGCTCTGACTTTGTCAACAAAAAAAGCTGAAATGATAAAGAAACTTTTTTAAAAAGAAAACGCAGATTCCTTCCCACTCAGAAATAAGATATTTTTGAATTATTAGATAAAACAACTTTTCATTAGCTAAGGAAGACCTAATTTATTTTCCTCAGGGTAGTATAAACATCACAGAGTAAAACCAAAGGAGAAAATTGCTCAAATGCAACATATACAGAGTACAGAAATAGGGTGATGAATTCAGACCTTTTATTTCTTCTTCCTACAAAACTTTTCTCTACTCCAAAAGATTTAAATTTATTTCTTACTTTATAATAGCTATGAACAGCAAAACTTCTGAAAAAGAATCCCAATCTTACTGGCAAGGACACGGGAAATACTTCTGAGCAAATGTCATTGCTGGTTTCGTTACCTCCTGCCCTAGTCATGATAAGCACTAAATTTGTAGAGCTCTGAAAAAGTGAAAAAAACTGAACCTAGAATGAGTGCATAACCTACAAAATCCTCTCATCCTCTAGGCAATAGTCATAGAAAAGGATGCCATGAGGGAGCAGCAGCAAGAAAATTCATGTTTTGTTGAGAAGCTTAAAATACCAAATACAGTATTATCCAAATAGAAACATAGCACAGATTTTACTCAGTCAACAAAGATTCCACAGTTGCTTTTTTGGAAGCATATAATAAGCCACTTGGGGAGACAAGATAAAGGCATCCCTGATTCCTGATGTGGGGAGGGAAGATAGAGCAGTGCTCCTGGAAGCCTCTCATCTGATCATCTCTCTAAGTCTCCTAGAGTCCTTGACACCCTTACTGCTAATTCTGTCTCCCAGAGGGGAGACAAGGAATCTAATGTAAATTAGTCTGAGCTTAATTCTGACCAACATGGAGGAATTTATTGGTATAGTGGGACAGATGTGACATTAAGAAGACTAATTATGGCATCATAAAGTAGTTGACAGTTAAGGTGAAAAAGGTTAAGAATGCATTTGGTTATTCTATACTCTGTAGAGTAATATATGTTTGAAATTTTGCCAAATAAAAATTTGAAAGAGAAAGAGAGAGAACAAAGAGAAGTAGAAACAGCAGACTTTGTGGAAGTAAAAGTAGCAGGAGCAGCCTGACAATCTTCTGTCTCAACCTTGACATCCTCAGGCCTGGCTCTATTTTAATTCCTACTCTCAATGCTGTGGCATATATGAAGTCTTAAAATAAATTCTCACTTCACTTGAACACTCTGGGGGAAAAAGGATATTTAACTTTAGGTATTTCCGAAGAGTAGCATTAATAAAACTCAGAAGATGAAATGGCATAATTCAATGACATGAGATGTTAGAGGTAAGAAGATTCCAGAAAGCTCGGAAGCTCTCAAAAATGGAACTACGTGATCATGAACGAGAGAGACAAAATAAGTATTTATTGAGCCTTTCTACAGGGCAGGCTCTGAGCTGGGCCCTGGGGACATTAAGACAAATATGTCCTGCTTCTGCTCTGAAGAAACCCGCAGTCAAAACGCATGACAAACTCAAACAGGGTGCAATTTAAAAATAAAAACAGTGTTGCCACAGATGTTCTCCAGTCAGTCCAAATTTGTATAGGAACTGTGGTACTTCTGTTTAAATACTGCAGAGAAAAGTCTTTTCTACCTGAATTCTTTTCTCTAAAAACAAAAAGAAGGAAAAAGAGAGAGGAAATTTTTATCCCCATTCAAACTGAAAAAGTCACAATCCTCAATCAGAATGTGAAGAGTGAGTGTCTACTAGAATTAGGCCCAAATGGTGGGAGGATATGCTCCCTTGATCTCTGAGGTAGGCAGATCTTTCTAGAAAGAGGTAGCCCACCCTGAGGGGCACCTGCTCTGGACTCCACTTAATCAAGAAGCACCGTTTTCTATAGCAATGCCCAACACTACTTAAATACTACAAAATATTTTGTAAGCATTATAAACTCTCTCTGGCACAGGGTCTATGACAACACTTTCTCCTGGGTTTTAGCCAACTCCCCAACTGACATCTCTTTCAAAATCATTTTCTAGGCCTACCCCTCTTCACGCTTCTCTGATGTGTTAGGATTCTCATCATAATTACCTTCAGCCCTCTTCTGGTTGATTGACCACATATTCATGTTTTAACCAACTTCTATATATGAACGATTCACTGGTCCACTTCTTAGCACAAAATTGTCCCCTGAGTTCCTGATACAAAAGCCAAATGACCACTATACATTTCCATTTATATGTCTCATAGATATTCAAAAGGTAATAGGCCCCAAAGGGAATCCTTCTCTTCTCCTGAATCAGTTCTCCACTTCCTACTCTAGTGAACTAATGTCATTATCTACCCAGCCCCTCAGACCTGGGGCTGAGCCTCAGCTGCTCCCTTTCCTGCCACATGCAGCCAGTTATCAAGTCCTGAGGCTCCCACCATTCGAAGTGCCCAAGCAAGTGCTCAAAATATGTCTACTTAAAGCTCTCAAAGATTTCCCTTCTTCCCCATTCCCAAGGCCATGTCTTGGTCATGACTTCAGGTTTTTTCTCACTCATTTGACACGAATAGCCTCTCCATTGGCCACTCAGCCTCTATTTTCACTCCCTTTAACTCACAGATCACACTATACAGGCTACCAGCCTGGTGTTTTTAAAATCACATCTATCTAACTATGTCTCTCTCTGATCTCAAATCTCTAATGCTGGCTCAGTACCTACAGGATTATGTATTAACTCCCTCCTGTAAAATGCAAAGCCCTTCATGACCTGGTACACCTGCCTACCTCTTCAGCATCTCTCCCACCAATTCCTATTGCTCTTTATTCCCCTGCCATACTCAGAGCATCCATGCTGTTGCATGCCACATTACAAATTGTTCCCTCTTCTTAAAGGGTTCATTCTTCCCACTCTCTCGGTGGCTAGGGTCTTACTTATAGTTTACGACAAACACTCTCTCCTCTATATGCTTTTCCCTGACCTCTTCCTCCTCCCCCATCATCTTTATTGTCATATCCTCACCCTCTGCCCCACTGTGAGTTATCTTTCCTTTGTGCTATCATATACTATTTGCACATCTCTATTACAACAATTATCACAATAACACTTTATTACATGTCTCTGATTGCATGCATGACATCTCAGGAAACTCTAAACCCCTTGAGGAGGATATCTAGTGTCAGTTATGAAGCTTGGCATATGGTAACATGTTAAGCAGTCAATACATTCAATAAAAAGTTGAACTCAGGGCTAGCCTGGTGATGTGGTGGTTAAGTTCATGCTCTCTGGTTCAGCAGCCCAGGGTTCGCAGGTTTGGGTCCCCAGCACCAACCTAGCGCTGCTCGTCAAGCCATGCTGTGGTGGTCTCCCGCATAAAACAGAGGAAGATTGGCACAGATGTTACCTCAGCAACAATCTTCCTCAAGCAAAAAGAGGAAGATTGGCAACAGAAGTTAGCTCAGGGCCAATTTTCCTGACCAAAAAAAAAAAAAAGTTGAACCAAAAAGTTTTTCAACACCAGCAAATGTGGGTGGAATTAATTTGGGGGATTTTAGTCAATAACAATGTAAACATCATTTAACAGAATAATTCAGAAAATAGTCAATGTACTTCAGATTGCATTAATAAAGGTGTGGCATCCAGTATGAAAGAGAAATTCATCTTAATTTCTCCACTGACCAGGCCACACCTGTAGGAAATACATGGAATATATCCAGAAGAAGACTGTCAAAAAAAGAACTCAAAATTACATCCTATTAGGAAATGTGGAAGGAAATAGAAAAGAGGAGACTGGGGCAGGGCATTATAACTGGGTTCAAATACACAAGGCATTGATGAGGGTTGAGCTTATTCTGCATAATCCTAGTATAGATGACCTGCATCAGAGTTAGAGCACCAGGGATAGAAGGACACCACAAAGATTTCAACTAGCCTGTGCCATATACTTCTGCTCAGTAAACCAACCAGAAAGCAAGATCATTCATCGCTGCTTGGAAAAGAGAGACAAGGTATTAACAGTATCGAGCACTTACAACATGCCAGGCACTGTTCTAAGTGCTTTATGTGTATTAAGTAATTTAATCTTCAAATCAATCCTATGTAGTTGGCATCATTATTAAAACATAAACTGGACAGGTTAAGTAATTTGACTATGTTCAGGCAGCTAGTAAGAACAGGAGCCAAGATTCAAATACAGGCAGTCTAGCTCCAGACCCCTTGCCCCTAACCATTTCACTATCTGACCTCACTCTGAAATCCGCTATAGCTAGAGCATAATGTGTAATTTAATTAAGCACATTAGTATCTGCAATAGTGGCTTAAACATGGGCATTCTCTACATGACTGAATAAAGGAGATTAAATACCTGGCCACACTCTTATCCCCACCCAGGCATAGCAGTGGCCCACAAAAGGGGTCTGCGGATACACTAGAACTCTATATAGTCTGCAATTCTCTAACACAGACCAACTCATTTCACTCACAGAATAGCAGGATTCCTATCCCCATTGTTCATATGTGCACATTGAAGTCCACATAGGTTAAATGACTTTTCCAAAGTCACACAGCTAGGAAGGAATGGAAGCATCACTCAGACTGAGTCCCTCAGATTCTTAGTGCGTTTCCCATAACAATCAGCTGTGTGCAGTCTTCCCGTCCATATCCCAATAACCACTGTAACATTAATCTTCCCAAAAGACAGCACCAAGCATAACTTCTAGCAGCTCATCATAGACATTAGATCAAACATAAAGTCCTCTGCAGGACAAGGTCCACAATCCCATCTCTGTCTACACTGCAAAGTCATTTCCCACTATGCCTTTGCACAGCAATAGTGCTCCGGTCAAGCCAAACTGCTCTTTGTTCCCAAACATAACCTCAAAGTTTCACCTTTGAA